GCGGAGCAGCTCAGTGGCCTGAGGGAACTGAACACGCCAAGCGTCGTTCAGACGAGCGAAGCAACGCTGTGTGGCGTGCGGTCCCCCACACGGCTGGCCAGTGCGGTCACCAGTGCGAATGACATACGTGCAGCTAAGGCCACCCCCCCCCCCCCCCCCCTGTGCTGAGAGTACCACTCACGGACCTCCTGGGGCGACGGAGTGTGCTGTTGGCCCTGGCCACCGCCAGTGCCTCCACGACCACCACCGCCGCTACCACCTTCTCGACCACCCCAACCCCGGCCGCTGCCTCGTCCACTGCCACCCCCACCACCTCCTCCGCCCCGGCCACCTCCCCCGCCGCTGCCGCCACCCCCCCCCACTGCTCCCACCTCCCCCACCCGTGCCACCCCCCCCGCCACCACCACCTCCCCCACCACCGCCACCCCCGCTGTCACCACCACCGCCCTTGCCCCCCTTGCCCTTGCCGCTGCGGCGCCCACTCGAAGCAGACGCAGTCCCGACCTTCTCAGCACCAAGGAGGTCGACAGCAGCAGCAGAGGCGACAGAGGGAAGAAGGGGGGAGGGAGAACACCCCTCAAAGAACGGGGTACGGGGGTCACCACGAGAGGCACCTACAGCGACTATGCTAGCCTCAGCTGCAAGCAGTTCCTTCTCGAGGAGGGCAATGGTGAGCTCGGTGGGGCAGCGAGCTGGGAAGTGGTCCCTGACTGAGCGCAGAGTGTCAGGGAGGCGCGTGACTAGGTGGTAGAGAGTGAGCCAGAGCGGGGGTGGGTTCTTGGCAAGGAACTCATCAGGCATAGCGGCGCGGAAGCGAGCCTCACTAGTGCAGAGGTGGGTAATGAGATCAGCGACAGTGTGGAAGGAAGCTAAGTCGGGGAACAGGTAGGGAAGAGAGAGACGGCCTAGAGCGGCAGAGGCCGGTGAGGAGTAGCGGGCAACGACAGCAGTGTACAGTGCCTGTGCAGTCTTGTGCTGCCCAAAGTGCTCGCGCTCATCTATCGGCAGAGAGTTGCGAATAGCGAAGCGAGTATGGGCGTCACGAGTCTGCCACTGTGAGCGGGCAGTGCTGTCAGCAGTAGCAGCAGGAGCAGTAGCGTGGCCTAAGGCATGATCGTACAGCGAGATATCTTCCTTGGCAGTGAGCTGTAGGAAGAGGTGTAGGTCATCAAGCCAGGTGTCGAACTTCACTGGGCGGCCCTCAGCATCGAAGGCTAGCACAGGAGGGCTAGCCATGGTAGCAGCAGTAGGAAAAGCAGTAGGAGCAGTAGGGTATGCAGGGCGGCGCGGCTCGGTACAGGTAGGGCGGCGCGGCTCGGTATAGGTAGGGCGGCGCGGCTCGGGTCGGGCAGCGCGGCTCGGTTCGGGCGGCTCGGGTCGGGCGGCGCGGCTCGGTTCGGGCGGCTCGGTTCGGGCGGCTCGGGTCGGTTAGGGCTGGCGGCTCGGGTCGGGCGGCTCGGTTCCGTTAGGGCTGGGCGGCTCTGGTCGGCTCGGGGCCGCAAAGGGAGAGCGCGGGGAGCGGGTGGGGCCGTGAGGGACGAGCGCGGGGCCGACGTGGGTGCTAAGGGCGAGCGCGGGGCCTATCGGGGCCGTGAGGGACGAGCGCGGGGCCGATCGGGGCCGTAAGGGACGAGCGCGGGGCCGACGTGGGCCTCTAAGGGCGAGCGCGGGGCCTATCGGGGCCGTGAGGGACGAGCGCGGGGCCAACGCGGGCCTCTAGGGGTAAGCGCGGGGCCGATTCGGGGCCGTTAAGGACGAGCGCGGGGCCGACGCGGGCCTCTAGGGGTAAGCGCGGGGCCGATTCGGGGCCTCTAAAAGCGAGCGCGGGGCCGACTGAGGCCTCTAGGTGCGAAAGCGTGGGGCTGACGGGGCCTCTAGGGGCGTGAAAGCCGAGGCGCCCTAGGGCGCAGGTAGATAGGTAGGTAGTGGTGGGCCCTAAAAAATCGGTCCTAGGAAGGACCTGCTCTATACCATGTTGAACAAGGATGAATGAACTAACAGTGAAATGAGTACAAGTATGAAAAACTAGGAATGTGTACCCCCTATAGGCTAACCCACTGTAGCCTAAACAACTACAACAACATATATAATGTTTGACACGGGCCGCCTGCGCGCGGTTCGTCTGGCTGTGCCAGGCCCGTGGGCGGCCCGTTCTTCTTTGCCCCTGAGCTGCCCGCTGTCCCCCGTGCTTCTGAAGGCGCCCCACCCCTGCTTCTGCCCGTTCTCCTGGATTAGGGTTTGGGGGTGGGGGGTATGGGGGTGCAGTTTCTGTGCGCCGTTCCACTACTCCTCCTCCTCCTCCGTCTCCCGCTGTTGCAGCTGCCGCTCAGGGGGGTGGGTGTGTGGGAGCCGAAGGAGTGGTGCTAGGGGGGTGTCGTGAGAGTGGAGCAAGGGGTGCAGCAGGGGGTGTGTGATAGGGGCATGGGGCAGCTGGGGGAGGTTGAGAGGAGGCAACCGTCGTGTCGTCAGCAGCGCCAGTAGTCCGGAGGCTACAATCTCCGGTAGTCGCCAGTCGCCTGTGGGTCAGTTGCTCCAGTCAGGAGGCTACAATCTCCGCGGAGCCAGTTACTCCTGTAGTCCGGGCCCTTGCTTCGGTAGCCACTGAGCCAGCAGCTCCTGTGTGTCTGCAGCGTCAGCAGTCGCCTCCCATCTTCTCGCCCCCACAGTCTCTCCTTCTCCTCACTTGCCCTCTGTGATAGCCTCTAGCTTTGCTTGCAATTGTGAATCTGCTCTATGACTGCGTGCTCTGCTGATTACACCCCACTTTGGCTATGGGGGTGTGTCAGAATGTTATTATCTAGCCTGTAGTGGGGTGCTGTATAGCGAGTACAACCCTGTTAGGGTTTGCTATATGTATCCCAACTGCTGCTAGTGAAACCTCTCCTTTGTTCATTTCTCTCTTGCCTAGCTAGCTAAACCCTAGCTATGGCTCCTCACTGTGCTTACTATTGTAACAGACAATATGGGGTACAACACTTTTAGGTTTTCCTACTTGTACCCACCTGTTTCCTAGTGCATTCACTTCCTCGTTATTCTCACAATACGCCCCCTTCACAAGGCAACCGGGAGGGGCTCAAACAGGCATCAATTGTAGTAAGAGCGTGGAAGATCCCTATGAACAAGGCATTGGTCGCGCAGTTGCGACAGTAACACAGGTTGCGACTCTCGCCATTAAACATCGTTAATAGAGCGACGAAAATTGCTAGAAGCACTCACGTTTCAGTGCCCGTGCCCCCTTGTTGCCCCACGTTTTTGGGTCCACGAGGGGAAGACAAAGATTGGCGACGTAAGAAGAATCACGCGACATGAAACCAGGTGTTGTCGTGGGTGATGTGGTGCAATCCAATTTGCTCTGAGTGATTGACGAACTCATATTTCTTCGCTTGAGAGCGACCAAGGCCCCTTCCGAAACCTTCAAGCCTTTCTGATTTGCAATGTGGGGTTTCATGTGTTACCCGGCGAAAGATGTCGCAAGCCATTGACGAAGCCAGATGTTCGACCACAGGAGCAACCAAACACATGTTCGTAGGGATCTTCCACGCCCTAAGGGTGTGTCAGATCCTTCAGAACTTATTTTGGCTGGTTATTTGTCGACCATTTGGTCGTCAAATTGTTTTCGCGAACGTCGACGCATTGGTCGAATTTTGGTCGACAAATTACGGATGTGTTTGCAAATCTGACATGTTTGGTGGCTGATTTGCTGGCCGCTTATCAAATGTGTCAGATTTGTTGGCCGGACTGCTGCGACGGGGTCGCAGATTTTGTAGCGATACAAGTAGCGATGACAATTATTGGCTGCCGTAAATTTGTTACGTCGCAGGATTACTGTTGCATTGCCAAGTCGACATCTTGGCCGAATTCGAGTCGACTACATGTCGGATTTATGTCGACTTTTTGAAACGGCCATCAAATTTACAATAAGTGGCCGGATGATGCGAGCTCGTCTAAAATATTTGCTACTGTCGCTAACGTGTTACTTTCGCCAAAACCGGCCAGTCGGATTAAGCCGATTTCGGATCTGACACACCCTAAGCTGCTTCCCTCCAAGTCGAACCCTATTTCCCGCCAACCACCGCATTCACGAGGCTGAGCATCAGACCAGAGAGCTTCGGTTCGGAGACCCGTTGGGAATGATTTTGCTTGCTGCTGCTGGTTCCCTCCTCAGCGGCATCTTGTCCTTCCATGTGTTGCTGCGCCTGAACCTAGCACATTTTGGTGCCTTCTGAAAACGTGTCCTTAACTTGAGTCCGACATCCCACCGCACTGCTGTCGCTAAGCAGATCAAACACCTTGCGTGCACGCCGTGGTTTCTTAAGTGGGGCTGCATAGTCCGCATGTCAACTTTTAGATCTGTCGTTCACAGAGGCTAGCTGTGCGCGCGGTTAAGAGCGAGCCAACAATATCCGTAGAAGGTTTTTGTGTCGAGTTTAGTGAAGAACTGCGTCTGGTGAGTGCTGCTCTTGTCGGGTCTCCTTCCTCAGTATCATTTTTTTTCTTGGTGAAAGTTTGCTATGTAGAAGCAATGTCGAATGTTTTAATCAGTATGCGGAGGTGTGTCCTGATTACCTTGTGTCCTGGTATCTGCACCGAAGTAGCCTTTTTTATTACGCGAACCTGCCAGTTTCCAGATTTTCTAGAGGAGGTGATGCTGTTTAATTATTATCCTCACCTAGTCATTTTCGCACACACTCACGCCGCCACCCTCTTCTCTCCCTCCCTCCCTCCCCACTCTTTCAAAAATGTCCGCACACTAGTCACTACCATTCCATCCTCCCCTGACTCCCCCGATTTATATTTTCACCGTTTCTCCTCTATCATGCATGCCCTATATGCTTATCTTCCTTTTCATCAGATTGACTCAGCTGTACTTATTACTGTTCTTCGATATGCGTTATCGCAATAATGTTCCTCATTATTGTTCCTTTCCCCTTTCGTCCCTTCATGATCTCACTAGAACTCCAGCCGTTGCCGTAGCCAGCGGACACGGTTGAGCAGCCCACATGGAGGGCGTGAAAAAGTTCACTGGCAGGGAGCTAGAGCAAGCAACCAACAAGTTCCACCGTGAAAACTCTCTCGGTAGAGGCGGCTTCGGCACAGGCTACAAGGGTCAAATCGATGGCCAACCAGTTCTTGTGATGAAGCTCAACCCGGACACTAGCCGGCAGGCAGGCGAGCGTTTTCTCCGCGAAGTGACAGTTCTTACACGCGCCGACCACCGCCACATTGTGAGGCTCATAGGCTACAATGCTGAGGCGCGCTGTATCGTGTACGAGGCACTCCCTGGCGGCAATCTCGAGGACAGGTTGGCGACTGAGGCTGGGCGCAAGTCTTTGAGGCAAAAAGACCGCCTCCGCATTGCAGCTGAGGTGGCGGAGGCGCTAGTGTTCCTGCACCGCCTGGACTACCCCATCCTGCACCAGGACGTGAAGCCCGCCAATGTTATGCTGGACGACGATCTCATTAGCAAACTCGGAGGAGTGGGTCTGGCGAAGTTCCTACCAGTCAATGACTCGTCGATTTGGGGCACTGTGGGATATATTGACCCCCTGCTACTGCGGACAGGCAAGTATGGCCCTCAGTCGGATGTCTATGGGCTTGGGTTGGTGGTGCTGCAGTTGTTGACGGGAGAGAAGGTGAACAAGGTGCTGGAATACGCCAAGTTCGGGCTGGAAGGAGTGCTGGAGCACCTTGACAAGGAAGTCACATGGAACGATAAGATCGTTCGTGATGTTGCTGAGCTGGCGTTGAGGTGCCGTGACAAGGCGAACCGGCCTGACCTGGAGTCGGTGGTGCTGCCAGCACTGCAGATCCTGGCCAAGGACACGGCCCTTGATCTGGATCAAGATGGGGCGCCGCCTCCCAGGCAAGCAGCAGGAGGCTCGGGTGCAAGGGGGGGAGGAGGGAGAGGAGGACATGCGGGAGGGAGAGGGGCAGGGCGTGGGGCAGGGGAGGATGCACACAAGGCGACACAGGCCAGCGCAGCAAAGAAGTCAACGTCCATGTTCAGCTTTTTATGGGGCAGTGGTCGCAAGTGATATGGGGTGTGCCTCAATGGCGCTCTCGTGTGACTCTTTTCGAAGTAGGTTGATAGCAAATAGGGTAGTTGGGCAGAAGCTGGACCGCTTTGTTGCCAGCAGTAACTGTGTAATGGGGGCATTCAATGTGGCAAGCGGAATAAGTGTTTGCTGCTGAGTATGGATTGGTTGTTGGGCGTGGAGCCAGGCACATGGAACATTACCTTTGTTCGAGCGCCTCAGGTGATTTCTCTGGTCGTGGTTGGGGAGGAAAGCAGGTGGTGACGAGATAGGAAGGGTAAGTGAAGAGTGTTTTTTTACAAGTACTTTTACGGTACCATTTGTTGGGCTGAAAAGCCCTAGGATCTTTGTAGAGTTAAAGTCTGAGTAAGTGATGTAATAGCGGAAGCGTTGAATAAAGTCCTTCAACCACCTTGCGCTAGTATGTGAGGGCAAAGTAAGTTGATTAAAGCAAAGAGATACAGGAATAAATATATGAGTACAAAGAATACCGTATGAAGAGACATTATGACTACTTTACTGTTGCGGTTCGATATAGTGCGACTCGGGCAACTGCTCAATGTCGAGTCAGTTGTGTGTCCTTGCTGTCGCGCTGCGTCAGGTCAAAGGTCGCTGACCTTTGACTTTCTCGTAACCTCCAGCGGTTACGTTAACTTCCGAGGGTTGACTCGCGATGCTTCGATTTGAGCTGCTTCGCTTGTGTCTTGAGTTCTGACACGACAGAGGCGCTTAAACTATTTGTTCCCAACACCATTCAGTATGGATGAAGTTACAACAAATAGCTTCTCTTTGGACATACGCAATGGAAAGATGAACTGTAGTTGGAAATATAAAGTTACAAGTGAAATTCGTGTGCCCTTCCGCCATGTACTGGCAGAACGACATGATTCACACGTCGACAGCAGACAGACTTTGTTCGATGATCGCTGTGAGGAGTGACGAGCGCAAAGCGCCAGACCAAAGAATAAAAAGTCCCGCTGGGCGTCGTCGGATGAAGCGTCGGGTGCAGCGTACTGGGCAGCAGGGGTTCGCCGTTGCTGCAATGGGTATCCAAGTGCCGTGACCAGCTTGATCGGTCTTGGAGTGTGGTATGAGAATCCACATGACCTCGTCGTCGAATTGGATGTCTTGCCATTTTATGGCTACTAGGTCAGAGTATCGCAGGAATCCGGAGTACATGAGGATGGGTATCAACCCTTTCTGAAATTGCGCAGGATCGTCGGACTGCAAGTAGCTCGCCGCCATTTCCTGGACTTGTTGGATCGAGACGGGTTCCTTCAGACGAGTAGGGCGTGGGCAGTGTCGCTTTGCATAGTCACGGACTTGGGTGGTGAACGGTCCGGTTGTCGGGCATTTGCTCCCGGTCATGCGATGGGCGAAGCTGACCGCCGAGCAGGTTAGCTGCACTACGGACAGGGTGGCTTTGCGTCGGATTGCGTGTACCAGGTATAGCGCGAGGGTCATGTCGGATGCCGGGAGGAATGGAAGGTTCACTTTTGTGCAGAAGGCTCGAAACTTGGCCCAGTATGGTTCATATGTCCGGATCGTATAATCGGCGCGGGACTGCGCGAGCATGTTGATCAGTTGGTCGTGTAACTTTGGGAGCAAATCTGAACACAAGGTGTATATATTTTGAATTAGTCAAATGCCACTCGCAGTGCAATGATTGGGCTGTGCGGTAGTCCCATGCCCGAAAAAGCAGTTGAATGGGACCCTACGTCTAGGCATTGGCTTCCGTGTGTCAGAGGGATGTGCGCGTGGATGTGTGGTGCCCAAGTGCGTGGGGAGGGTTGCAAGAGTGGCCACCAGCTTGCGCCTGGCCAGTGCGGAACTATCAGTGTGAGTGATGCATGGGTGCGTTGTGCGTGATGGAGGACGGCTGGGACCAGTTGAGGTGGGGGGAAGGCGAAGTTGTTTTCAGGTGTCCACGCGGTCGAGAACGCATCAACTGCAATGGCTGCCGGGTAGGGAATCTTTGAACAGAAGCGCGGCAGTTGGGTGTTGCGGGAGTTTGCGAAAAGGTCGATGGAGTGAGGGCCCCAACGACGTTCCAAGATCCGGAACCACGGCGTTTTCAGCGCGTAATCGTCGTGGTCGACCATTTTTGAAAGCTCGTCGGCGTGTGTGTTGAGCTCGCGCGGAATCCATTCAATGATCAAGCGCGTGCCAAGCGCCATGCATGTTCGGATGATGCTCTTGCATGCCGTTGTGAGGTCGGGGCTGTGAGAGCCGCCTTTGCGAAGGATGAAGAATACGCCCTGGTTGTCCACCCGCACGAGAACGTGTTTTTGCTTGATCTTGTTTGCGTACGTTTGTAGCGCCCAAAGGACGCCTTCGATCGTCGCGTGCTGGACGTTCCTCGTAGCGGCTCTGACATGGTTGCGCTAGCTTCTTCGATGCCACCCGGAAATGTGGTCAGAGTGGCGCCCCAACCATGAGAGATGGCATCCACGTGGATTACCGCGTCGTAGCTGTTCTTGACGTGAAAAGGTGCGCCGTTGAAACGGTCGAACTCCTCGAGCCAAAATTGGAGCTCTTCTGCTGCAGATGGGGGGATAACGACGCTGCTTTTCCATGACGGTGCGTCGTCGATCACTTGTAACATAGCATGGCTGAATGCGCGAGCTGTCGCGCCAAGTGCGACACCCATCGATGCGAGCATGCCAGTGATTCTGGCCACGTGGCGGACCGGGAATGGTCGGCATGCCTTGCTTGCGCTCAGGAGGTTTCGGATGGTTGCATGTAGTGAGGCTCGTCGGTCCGGACCGATGGAGAATCGGCCGGTATCGGTCTCGAGTTCTACGCCCAGGAATCGGAGACGCTGCGATGGTGACAGTTGTGATTTCTTCGCGTTTATCACAAGGCCTGCCTCTTTAAGATCCAATATCACCCGCTGGCAAGTTGCTTGCGCGTCCTCTTTCGACTGGCAGAGAAATAAGATGTCGTCCACGTAAGGTACGACTCGGATGCCTTGTTCTCGCCAACGCCGAGCTAGTTGCTTGATGAGCTGCGTGAAAACGAATGGAGCTGTCGCGAGGCCAAATGGTAGTGAACGGAATGCGTATGTGCGCTTATCAAATTCAAAGCCAAGGAACTTCCAGCACGATGGGTGGATGTCGATGTGGTGGTAACCAGATTTGAGGTCAATGGAGAACATCCAGTCCCCAACGCGCGCGAGGTCGGCGACGCGGCTGAGCCCTTCGTACTTGAACTTGGGGATGATCAAGTTGGCGTTGACTTTCCTCAGATCAAGAATGAGCCTGCATTTGTCTTTTTGCTCGACCACGTTGAGTGGACTTATGCATGTAAGCTCCGTTGCGGCCATCGGAATTGCCGCTCCCATCTCTATGAGTTCTTGGATGGCGGTACGTGTGAACGTGGCATGCGTGTTTGCCCCGACATGATTGCGATCGTGGAAATGTTGCGGTGGGACGTGGCTCCATGGCAACCAGTAACCCTTGGCGATGACGGAGAGGACAAGGCTGCTGGGGCACCATGAGCTCCACCACGCAAATGTCGCGCGAAGACGACCGCGCATGTGTGTAATAGTTCTGTCTGTAACGGCAAATTCGTACGGATCGTCGTGGCATGCCGCCTCGCACCGTCGTGCTCCTGTACATTTGAGGCCAAGTGGTATAAGCTTTGAGTATTCCACGTTAAAGCATGCGTGTGCATGTACTTGTACGGGCAACCATTGATCGAAGGTGTGAAGAGAATGAACAATTGAATGAAATGTCAACGAATGTGTCGGGAATGTTAACGCATGTCAACGCATGTCTCTTCTTCTCCTCGTTTCCACTTTTTTTTTTTTTTTTCTTGCCCCGTCGTCCACTTGGTAGGACATGGTTGTGCCTGCCCTTAGTGCGTAGGGGCTGATGCCTAGGGCCATGGACACCGTTGTCCATTGTGCTTTCTCTCATTCTCTCTTATCTCTCTCTCTCTCTCTCTCCCTCTCTCTCTCTCTCTCTCTCTCTCTTTCTCTCTCTCTCTCTCTCTCTCTCTTTCTCTCTCTCTCTCTCTCTCTCCCTCTCTCTCTCTCTCTCTCTCTCTCTCTCTCTCTCTCTCTCTCTTTCTCTCTCTCTCTCTCTGCTCCTCCTCTTGATTTTCATAGTCTCTTTGCCAAAACCATAGGCCTTTAGGAAGGTAGTTTTTATTAAATCAACCAACACACATAGCAATGCTTTCCTAGCATGCCACCAAGTGGCCAACATATGGGACCGAGGGGTTGTTGTTCCCCTTCCCTATCCTAGGCCCAAGCCTATTGTGAGAATAAGCGAACAGGAATGAATGAACTAGCAGTGAAATGAGTACAAGTAGGAAACCCTAGAATTGTGTACCCCCTATAGGCTAACCCACTGTAGCCTACACAAGCATAACATATATAATGTTTGACACACCCCCATAGGCAAAGTGGGGGAGAACAAGGGGTCACAAGACCAGTCAAGCAAAGCAAAGCAAGCTCAGGGTGGATCACAAAGTCACCACACAGTCCGAGCACAAGAGAAGGGCCAGAGGCCAGTTCACATGCAGGAGGACAGACATATATATAAAACTAGACAAGCAAGAGCAGGTATATATATATATGTCACAGTACAAGCGAAGTCAAGAGGAGAGCAAGTGAGGCAAGACAGGCACAAGACCCAGCTGGGTGCAAAAGCGCTGATGGTCACAAGGCGCGAGTGCCTTGGTGAACACATCAGCAGTGTTGGCCTCAGAGGCCACGTACGCAAGTCGCAACTGACCACGCTGCTGCAGCTCACAAGCAAGGAAGTAGCGGAGAGCAATGTGCTTCGTTCTGTGCTCCAAGCGCTGCTCTCGACACAAGGCCAGCATGGCCTTGTTGTCTACGTACAGCACTGGAGGAGAACGAGGCGGCTCTCCAAGGTCAGTCAGCAGGTAGGTGAGCCAGCGAAGCTCCTGTGCAGCCATGGCCCCGGCGAAGATCTCAGCCTCACAACTGGAGCCGAGAACTGAAGACGAGCGAGAAGACCGCCACGAGACAGAGCCGGAACCAAGGCTGAAGGTGTAACCCTGTGACGACCGCTGCGTAGCCTGGTCGTCAGCCCAAGAAGCGTCCGCGTGGCCTGTAAGGACCACTGGACTCCGCCCTCCAAGCACTAGCCCCATGCCCGACGTACTGCACAGGTAGCGCAATACCCTCTTCGCTGCTGCCATGTGCTCTGGTCGGTGTCTCCCAGAAGCAACATACCGTGCAAGAATGCTCAGAGGGTATGCAAGGTCAGGTCGTGTGCAGGTCATCAGGTACATGAGGCAGCCAACAAGCTCTGCATACGGACCACTCGACTCTACGGACTCATCCGAAGGCAGAGCTGAGAGTGAGTGGCGAGTAGACAGAGGAGTGGCCTGAGGCGAGGAGTACGTGAAGCCGAAGCGCTGAAGGACCTGCTGCACCATGTGTGACTGAGTCAAGGTAATGGTGCGGCGTGCTCTGTCCCGAGTGATCTGCAAGCCAAGGTAGCTGCGCAGTTCACCCAGGTCAGTGCACGTGTGTCTCTTCAGCAGCTCGGACTTCACGTAGGCGAGTCCAGCAGTGTCCGCTGTGGCAAAGACCAAGTCGTCGACGTACACGAGGATGTAGAACGGCGGCAGGGAAGTGTCGGTGCGAAGAAACAGCGACGGGTCAGCAGTAGAAGGAGCAAACCCAAGAGCCGCAAGCGTAGTCCTCAGTGTGTCGTGCCACTCACGCGGTGCCTGGCGGAGACCGTAGACTGGCCGTCGGAGGCTCCACTGGGTGCCAGGAGGGAAAGTCCCAGTGAAGCCAGGCGGACGGCGCAGCCAGATCTCCTCGTGCAGGCTACCCTGCAGAAACGCAGTGCTGAAGTCGAGAGAGTGAAGCTCGTAGTCGCGCTGAGCGGCTATGTGCAGCAGCACCCGAAGAGTAGTCATCTTCGGGGTGGGAGAGAAGGTCTGAAAGTAGTCAACTCCCTGCCGCTGACTGAAGCCACGAGCAACGTACCGTGCCTTGAAGACAGGTGGAGAGCCCGGCGGCCGCTTCACCCTGAAGATCCACATGCCACTGACGATGTTCGCCCCAGGAGGGGGAACCGCGTCAACGTAGGTGCCTGTGGACTTCCAGGAAGCCATCTCTGCATCCATAGCTGCCTGCCACTGAGAGGAGTAGGGACCCTCTACGGCCTCCGCGTAAGAACGCGGAGTCGGGATGTCTAGTGCATCCGGGTCTCCCTCAGGGGCAAGCAGTACAGACGCGAGATGAGGTGAAGCAGCCGCTAGACACTGTAACTCCTCCTGCCTGTCCTCTAGGACGTCCGTGCCAAGAGCACACTCACCCCCGACGGACGGAGGACAGACAGACGCAGACTCAGCCACAAGACTAGCAGCGTAGTCGAGACGACAGCGAGCAGCAAAGTCGACGAGCTCAGCGACTAGAGCAGACGCAGCAGTGGACTCAAAAGAGGGGTCAGTGACGACAGTAGCAAGCAGACGCGTGACAGTAGAACTGGCAGCACGAAGAGAGTCCGACTCAGGGTCGGCAAGCGCAGGAAGAGAGGACTCAGGAGGAGAAGGCAAAGGGGCACGCAGAGGAGCAGTGGACGGACGCAAAGACATCCGGTGCGTGCCAGGGACAGGAGGAGGACGCTGACGCGAACTGCGACCACTAGCGCGAGAAGGACGAACAGGCGACGCGGGACGAGACGCAGGCTCACGACGCTCAGCAAGACCTCCAGTAGGACCAGTGTAAGGAGAGGGAGCAGGCAGTGGAGAGGAAGGCTCTAGCAGGGACTGCGACTGGACAGGCGGTGGACCCTCTACTGGAGGAGAAAGACCAAGAACCTGCTGCAGGAGCGGAACGAAGTACGGCCGAGGCCGCGCGGCAGCTCCAGACTCAGCAGGGACAGCACCAGCACCCTCAGCGACAGCACCAGCGCCACCCACACCTCCAGCGGTAGGACCAACAGTAGTAGGCTCAGCACCAACGCCCTCAGCAGCTCCAGCTCCAGGAGGACCCGTAGGTCCAGCAGCTCCGGGACCGGCAGCACCCGCACCCTCGACAGTCGAAGAAGCTCCAGCTCCAGCTCCAGCAGCACCTCCAGACTCAGCAGCACGCCTCCAGCGGCGAGCGAACCACTCGCGCAGCTCCTGTGGAGAGAGGGGCTCCCGGCGAGACGCAGCAGCAGGAGAAACCCCAGGCTCAGCAGCTCTAGACGCAGCACCCCCAGGCTCAGCAGCTCCCAGCTCAGTACCCCCAGGCTCAGCAGCTCCCGACCCAGCACCCCCAGACCCAGCACCTCCAGGCACAGCACCCCCCGGCTCAGCACCCCCAGGCTCCTCACCCTCCGCAGTAGTACCCCCAGGCCCAGCACCCCCAGCAGTAGCACCCCCAGGCTCAGCACCCCCGCGCACAGCACCCCCAGAGTCAGCACCCCCAGGCTCAGCACCCGCAGCAGCACCAGAGTAACCAGTAACCTCGACCGCGTCAACGGCGTCTACCTGGGACACACCTGAGGGGGCAGGAACCTGAGGGGGGAGGGGGTCTACCGGGGGGGGAACCGGCACAAGGAAGTCCGGGGGAGGGGGGAGGGAAGGAGTGCGGTAGGGGAAGAGACGGTAGAAGGGGACTGACTCGTCGAACGTGACGTCCTGGGAGGACAGAACACGACGAGAGGAGGGGTGGTAAAACTGCCACCCTGGGGCGTCAGTGGGGAAGCCAAGGAAGACACAGGGAGCAGCACGAGGGGACAGCTTGTCCGCAGACAAGTCGCGGACAAACGCCCGAGATCCCCAGACACGGAACACAGACGCATCGCCAACCTTCCCCGTCCACAGCAAGGCTGGGGACATCGCAGGCCGAGAGACCCGGGGGTGAAGGTTGAGCTGATGCGCCGCGTACCTCACCGCAAACGGCCACAGAAAATGGGGGGCAGCCGCATGCATCATGGACGTACGAGCGACATCCATGACCATGCCAATGCGGCGCTCAGCAATCCCATTTTGCTGTGGTGAGTCCGGAAGCGTGAAGGTCTGGCGGATCCCCCGTGCACGACAGTAGTCTCGCAGAAGGCGAGAAGAGAACTCTCCGCCTCTGTCTGAGTGCAGACGCAGAACAGGAAAGTCCGAGCCGAAGCTCTTCCTGAGCTGGAGACGAGCCTCGCGGATCCAGTCGATCAGCACCTCAGTGACCGCACCCTTGCTGCGCAAGGGGAGGACTGTGGTGTAACGCGAGTAGTCGTCAACCACCAACAGGAAGTAGCGCTCGTGACCCTGCCCACGGACGGGGGCTGGGCCCCACACGTCCATGTGAAGCGTCTACAGAGGAGCCTCTGTCGGGGGGAACTGGGAGGAGTGAGGAGCAGCCCGGAGGCGACCCTCGACACAGGGGACACAGGAAGGTCCTGGCCCGGAGGGAAGGGGAGGGAGAGACCGGGGAAGACCAGAGACAAGGACACGGGAAGCCATGCTCCGAAGACGGGGCAAGGAGGGGTGGCCAAGACGGTGGTGCCACAGGAGAGTCTCGTGAGACAGGAGGCGACACGAACAGGGGGCAGACTCAGGACCTGACCGGGACGCAGCAGCAAGCACCTGACCTGACGCAGCCACCTGACCAGACGCAGGGACAGGAGGAGACTCAACGGTCAGGGTGTAGAGACTCGACCCCGGCCGACGCAAGAACGTGGCCAGGTGTCGGCCTGTGCGTGCCTCCGTGCAGTGGGTCACCCGCTGACTCGCAGGAGTGAACTGGTGAACCCCCACATCCTGCAGGTCCGCGCCACTCACCAAGTTCGTAGAGAACGAGGGAAGGTACAGACCAGACAGGGTGCCCGCAGGGGCAGCCGGACACGGGAGGACAATGGAGAAGTGAGACAGGACAGGACCCCCAGAGGGGTCAGCAAGGGAGACTGCAACCGGCCGGCCGAGTGGCGTAAGGGTAGTGCGGTCTCGAAAGAAGGAGCGAGAAGCCCCGGAGTCAAGTGTGAAAGTGAGGGAGGACGAGGACGACGCAGTACCTGAGAGCGCAGTCTCACCAGTACCTGAGAGCGCAGACGCACTGGCACCTAGAGCAGCAGCCTCACAAGCACCTAGCGCAGCAGTACCAATGCCCGGGTCGGGGTGGAAACACCGGTAACCCTCATTCTCCTCACTATAAGTCACAGCATACATAGCAGCAAGGATAGCATCAAAATCAAGATCAAAGATCGCTACACCAGCCCTAAGAAGCTCATCCCAGCGAGGGATCTCACTAGCCCCAGGGAACTGCTGACGCCAAGCATCTTTGAGGCGGCCAAAGCAGCGCTGGGTGGCGTGGGCACCCCCACACTGCTCACCCGCGCGGTCGCCGGAACGAAGAACGTAGGTGCAGGGACCAGTACCCCCACCCCTCTGACACCTAGCGTACCACTCACGAAGCTGCTGAGGCGGAGGGATGTCCCGCGAGCGCTGCTGCTGCTGCCGCTGCGAGCGCTGGCCACCACCACCGCCGCTACGCTGCTGGGTACCACCCCGACCAGCTCCACCTCCTCCACCACCACCGCCTCCTCCGCTGCCGCCTCCACCGCCTCCACCTCCGCCGCCTCCACCTCCGCCGCTGCTGCCACCACCACCACCACCCCCGCCACTAGTCCCGCCGCCACCCCCACTCCCTCCGCCGCCACCGCCGCCACCGCCACCGCCCCCTCCAGCTCCACCCGCGCCCTTGCCCCCCTTGCCCTTGCTGGAGCGGCGTCTCCCACTAGGGGCAGACGCCGCGCCGACCGACTCAAGACCAAGCAGGTCGGCAGCAGCAGCAGAGGCAACAGAGGGCAGCAAGGGGGAAGGAGAGCACCCCTCAAAGATGGGGGTGCGAGGGTCACCACAAGAAGCACCTACAGCGACTATGCTCTTCTCCGCTGCGAGGAGGGCCTTCTCGAGGAGGTCGACGGTGAGGGTGGTGGGACAGACTGCGGGAAAGTGGTCCCTGACGACGCGAAGGGAGTCAGGGAGGCGCGCGACTACGTAGTAGAGAGCGATCTACATGGGGGGTGGGTTCTTAGCGCAGAACTCAACAGGAAGGGCGGCGCGGTAGCGAGTGTCACTAGTGCGGAGGTGCGTAATGAGGTCAGCGACAGTGGGAAAGGCTGAGAGGTCAGGAAAGAGGTAGGGAAGCATGAGACGGCTCAGTGCAGCAGTGGCAGGGGAGGAGTAGCGCGCAACTACAGCGTCGTACAAGGTCTGAGCACTCTTGTACTGACTAAAGTGCGCACGCTCAGAGGTAGGGAGGTGGCGACGCACAGCAAGACGTGCAGCAGCATCGCGGGTGGCCCACTGAGAGCGGACAGTGGGATCAGCATCAGCAGCAGGAGCAGGAGAGGCGCCAGAGGTGAGGTCAAAGAGAGAAAGGCCATCAGCCCTGTCGCACTGTAAGAACAGCTGCAGGTCGTCTAACCAGACCTCAAAATCAATGGCGCGACCCTCAGCGTCAAAAGCTAGGACACTAGGGGTAGCCATGGCGACGACAGCAAAGCAGTGCAAGCAGTAGGGAAAGAGCTCGCAGTGACAGTGGGACTGTGCTCACCAGGCAGGGCAGGTCGTGCAGCTCTGCAGAAAGGCGGCTCGGCGACCGGGCGGCTCGGGTGCACAGCGGCTCGGCTCCCGGGCGGCTCGGCGGCAGGGCGGCTCGGGTGCAGGGCGGCTCGGCTCCCGGGCGGCTCGGCGGCAGGGCGGCTCGGGTGCAGGGCGGCTCGGGTCCCGGGCGGCTCGGCGACAGGGCGGCTCGGGCGTTGGGCGGCTCGGCTCCCGGGCGGTTCGGCTGCACTGCTGCTCGACTGCTGCAGGTGTGGCGGCGGGGCCGCGTGAGAGAGCCGGGGCGGGGACGCGTGAGGGCCGCCGGCGGGGCCGCGTGAGAGCCGGGGCGGGGCCGCTTCAGAGCCGGGGCGGGGCCGCTTCAGAGCCGGCGGCGGGGCCGCAAAAGAGCCGGCGGCGGGGCCGCTTGAGAGCCGGGGCAGGGGCCGCGTCAGGGCCGGCGACGGGGCCGTAAGAGAGCCGGCGGTGGGGCCTGGAGAGGGCCGACGGCGGGGCCACGTGAGAGCCGGGGCGGGGCCGCAAGAGAGCCGGCGGCAGGGCCGCGTGAGAGCCGGGGCAGGGGCCGCGTAAGAGCCGGGACGGGGCCACGGAAGAGCCAGGGCGGGGCCGCGACAGAGCCGTCGGCGGGGCCGCGTGAAAGCCGGGGCGGGGCCGCGTGAAAGCCGGGGCGGGGCCGCGGGAGAGTCGGCGGCGGGGCCGTAGGAGAGTCGGCGGTGGGGCCGCGTAGGAGCCGGGGCGGAGCCGCGCGAGAGTAGGCGGCGGGGCCGCGTAAGAGCCTGGGCGGGGCCGCGACAGAGCCGTCGGCGGGGCCGCGTGAAGGCCGGGGCGGGGCCGCGTAGGAGCCGGGGCGGGGCCGCGTGAGAGCAGGCAGCGGGGCCGCGTAAAGGCCGGGGCGGGGCCGCGACAGAGTCGGCGGCGGGGCCGCGTGAGAGCCTGCGACGGGGCCGCGTAAGGGAGGGCGGCGGGGCCGCGTCAGTGGAGGCGGCTGAGCCGCAGGGGAAAAGGCGACCCGAGGGGTCGCTAAAAAAAAAATCGCGCCTCGGGGCGCGCTTCGGTGGGCCCAAAAAAAAACGGTCCTTAGAAGGACCCGCTCTATACCATGTGAGAATAAGCGAACAGGAATGAATGAACTAGCAGTGAAATGAGTACAAGTAGGAAACCCTAGAATTGTGTACCCCCTATAGGCTAACCCACTGTAGCCTACACAAGCATAACATATATAATGTTTGACACCTATCCCACCCTTTACTAGGGCTGGCCTCTTGCCATCGCAAACCCCTAGGGTTGCCCACGGTTTTCGCACTCAAGAGTGCACCGTGCCTAGCGCCCAAGCGCCTAGTCTCATGGCCCGCTCCTACACCACCGGAGCGGGTCCCTGGCCTCCATGCCCGTTCCGAGGGCAGGCACTTGCCACGTGGCCCGGCTGGCCGCAGCGGAAGCATGAGCCCCGGAACCCACGGCAATTGGTCGTGGGCGGGGGGCCTCGCTTGGGTAAGAACGGCATCGGCCCGTTGTTTCCGCCGCGGTTGACACGAGCGTATCCGCTTGCCGCACGGTCCATCGCCGCCATGTCCGCGACCGCCTGCTTGAAGGGTCGAGAAGTCAGCAGGCTCTTCTGCTGGTACAGCTTAAAGCGCTTCGCCGTGCGAAAGTCGGAGGCGTCCTCCACTTGAAGCACCTCGAAACGCCCCGCGATGAGGTTGAGAGCGTGTGAGATGAGTTCGAGTCCGCCCGCCGGATCACCGCGCTGCGCCTTGTATTCGGCGTGCAGCAGGTACGCCCGCAGGTCCTCCAGTAGCTCCGCTTGCTCTCGCACGGAGTCGTTGACGAAGGTTGCCGCCGAGAAGGTAAGATTAGAAGAAGGGAGGGGGGGAAGGTTTTCCGTGCCAATAAAATTAACATTGTTGACTGGAGCCTCACCGGCTTCATCTTCAGAGTCGTCGGTGTCGTTGTCGACCGCTGGAGCAGGGGGAGCGGCAGTCGCTGCGTCGTTGTCATGCCGGTTCGTCCGTGCTCCCCGTGTGCCTTTCTCCTTTTTTGCAGTTTCTTTTTTAGCCGACGCAGATGCGGCGGGTAGTGCAGTTTCCGCGGCTGTAACGCTGACGGGTTGCTGCTGTAGAAGGGACAGCAGCGCGTTGACCTGGTCCGGGGTCAACGCCTGCGTCAGCGCAGGGGCGGCGGTCGCGTCAGACGAGGAGACTGCAGTCCGCCTCCTCTGACGCTGACGCGACGGTCCAGCAGCGGGTGCTGGCGTGTGCTCGGCGTCAGTCGCGTGTGCCGCGCCAGTAGGAGGAGGGAGAGGAGGACATGCGGGAGGGAGAGGGGCAGGGCGTGGGGCAGGGGAGGATGCACACAAGGCGACACAGGCCAGCGCAGCAAAGAAGTCAACGTCCATGTTCAGCTTTTTATGGGGCAGTGGTCGCAAGTGATATGGGGTGTGCCTCAATGGCGCTCTCGTGTGACTCTTTTCGAAGTAGGTTGATAGCAAATAGGGTAGTTGGGCAGAAGCTGGACCGCTTTGTTGCCAGCAGTAACTGTGTAATGGGGGCATTCAATGTGGCAAGCGGAATAAGTGTTTGCTGCTGAGTATGGATTGGTTGTTGGGCGTGGAGCCAGGCACATGGAACATTACCTTTGTTCGAGCGCCTCAGGTGATTTCTCTGGTCGTGGTTGGGGAGGAAAGCAGGTGGTGACGAGATAGGAAGGGTAAGTGAAGAGTGTTTTTTTACAAGTACTTTTACGGTACCATTTGTTGGGCTGAAAAGCCCTAGGATCTTTGTAGAGTTAAAGTCTGAGTAAGTGATGTAATAGCGGAAGCGTTGAATAAAGTCCTTCAACCACCTTGCGCTAGTATGTGAGGGCAAAGTAAGTTGATTAAAGCAAAGAGATACAGGAATAAATATATGAGTACAAAGAATACCGTATGAAGAGACATTATGACTACTTTACTGTTGCGGTTCGATATAGTGCGACTCGGGCAACTGCTCAATGTCGAGTCAGTTGTGTGTCCTTGCTGTCGCGCTGCGTCAGGTCAAAGGTCGCTGACCTTTGACTTTCTCGTAACCTCCAGCGGTTACGTTAACTTCCGAGGGTTGACTCGCGATGCTTCGATTTGAGCTGCTTCGCTTGTGTCTTGAGTTCTGACACGACAGAGGCGCTTAAACTATTTGTTCCCAACACCATTCAGTATGGATGAAGTTACAACAAATAGCTTCTCTTTGGACATACGCAATGGAAAGATGAACTGTAGTTGGAAATATAAAGTTACAAGTGAAATTCGTGTGCCCTTCCGCCATGTACTGGCAGAACGACATGATTCACACGTCGACAGCAGACAGACTTTGTTCGATGATCGCTGTGAGGAGTGACGAACGCAAAGCGCCAGACCAAAGAATAAAAAGTCCCTCATAGCTGATTGAGAAGGCCACTTCTGTGCAATTGCAGATTGCAATCTCAAACATGGCGGATAGAGACGATAACGCAGCCGGCCAAGCACTTCACATTGACCGAACAGAAATGCTCAAGGTCATCGAACAGATGATTAGCTACTCGACGGAGTGTTCAGCTGACGCTGTATTGTGCTCGCGTGCTTGTCAGGAGATCTGTAATGCACTGAAAGAAGTCCAACCACTTTTCTTGGTTCTCAAGCACACTAACCTCACAGTAGCACAGGATAACAGCTTGGTGGAATCACTTTCTGAAATGGCTTGCTCATTGGCGGATGTGACTGTCTGCGTGGATTTGTGCCGCGATAGGCTATGGAAGTTTCACTTGCTTCAGCACTCGGATTCCTTCACGTCGCGACTTCAAGACGCAACGAAGAAAACGGGGGATGCATTATATGAATTTGCCAGCACAAGGATCAAGGTGAGCTGAAAGTCTAGCATGCAGCCGCGGAGGCATGTTCAAAGCGCGACACTAACTTGCTTCATGTAATACACAGATGGAACCGGGGTTTCCGGTGCACTTATTTTCGGACGTTCTCACAGCAGCTGCTAAAGCAGCTACGAAGCTCAAGAACGTCGACGTGAACCTTGATCCGAATGATGCTCGTTTGAAAGAAATGGTCAATACTGGTTGTGACGAAGTCGTGAGTGGTGCATCTGATCATGCCTTGGACATAATACTTCAAGGAAGGCATGGTTATTGGCGAAGTGTGCAAAGCATGAGCCAGCTCTCGCTTAACGATTCAAGCAGTGGTCAGCAAACATCTCGTAGTCGTGAAGGAACGTCGTCTGGCAGGTAAGAAAGGTTGTCTTGACACACGCTCCCCATCTCGCTTGAGCTAATCATTACGTGAACGCAGACCGGCAAACGACGGAGAGATGCGCCTGGAGGCAACAAGAGCAATGCTTGAATCCATACGGACAACGCAAGACAGCGGTAACAGCTTCGCTCCATCCGTTCTCAGTCCTCGCTCATTTGCCGAAGTAGCATCGCCTACTGGAACTGCGGAACCCAGCTCATTGCCAGAAACGTCTGGTAAGTTTTGACGACTCCCGTTAAAATTCTAAATACAAAAAAAAGGGTAAACACTAACAAGTTGTTTTTCTCAGACTCCGCCAACATTATTTCTAAGGCTCTGGATGATGCGCCGGCTGAAAAGTCAGGGAAAGACACCGTTAGTTATGGCACACCAGATCGACCTTTTGGCACAAGAAGGTAAGACCTCATTTATGCTGTTCCACTTAATTCATGCTGACACACCTTATCACAATGTTCCTACAGGAGAAGGTCAAGCATGAACGATGAGCCACCTCCTGAGTTTCTATGTCCTATCACATGCGAACTGATGGCGGATCCAGTCATGGTTGTCACGGGACAAACTTATGAGAGGAGCTCCATCAGACAGTGGATAAGTGAGGGCCATCGTACATGCCCTATTACAAGTAAGCATCGAACACATCCCTTGGTTTCAGAGATTCTGCCAATGGAAGGAATGTGATCTGACTATGCTGTCGTTCTGCTTATTATGATGCCAGGGATGCCTCTTGGGAACATTGAGCTGGTGCCTAACTATGCACTAAGAAACGCCATTCGAGCTTGGGCACAAAAGCGGGGCATCGAGTTGAAGGAGCCTGAGTTCTTTCCGCCACCTCGCATAAGCGGAGCGCAATATAAGACAGCTAATAATGCCTCGGCACCATCACAGATCCCTACCTGGGACAATGCTCTGCCAGACAGGAGGAGCCCTCCCATGCTGGCTGTTACGCAGCTGTTCGTTGGTTCAACTGCTGACAAGGTCAATAGTGTTGTGCTGAAAAACTCCTGGTGTTAAGTTCTGTAGCTCATTGCTGCCATGTTGATTTTACAGGACGCAGCTGTTGCTCAGCTTGCAACAACTGCAAGTGAAGATGGGGAAAATGGGAGGGTTTCAGTTGTACAGGCTGGTGCAATCCCACCCCTCATCATGGTTCTGCTTGAAGGCTCTGATTTTGCCAAGGAAACGGCAGCAAGATGCATCCGCTTTCTTTCCAGGAGCAACAACCCGATCATTACACAAGGTTCTGCAGCAGCTATCCCAGCTTTGGTCCGACTACTTTCTGTGGTAAGTGTGGGCCTGTTTTGCACTGATGGGCACTAGTTCGTGGTACTTAACAACCTCCTTTTACTGCAGGGGTCTCAAGCTGCAAAGGAGGCCGCATGTGGCGCTCTTGTCAACCTTTCAGCCAAGACGGATGTCAACAAGTTCCAGATTGCAGTTGCTGGAGGAATACTTCCACTAGTTTCTCTTCTTGACTTCAACCAGCCAAATGCCTCAAGGACCTCGTATGAGTGCGCATCAGCAGCACTGTGCAATCTTGCTTTTGACAATGAGAACAGGCTGAAGATTGCTGCAGCCGGTGCCATCCCTTTGCTTGTCCAGGTATGATTAGAGGTTTATGTCGTTATTTCTGTACAGATTCCACTGAAGCTGTGTTATCGCAGGTTGCTGCAAGATCCCCGACCCCAGAAGCTGGAGAATATGCCACTCACGCCCTTGGAAGCTTGGCCTGTGAAATTAATGAGAATGGGGAGAAAATTGTTCAGGTAATCTGATAGTTTCCACTAGAGCTTTGACCTTCCGTATGATTGGCTAACGCTGAACTTCTGTGGCACAGGCTGGAGCTGTGCCAGTGCTGCTTGCAGCACTTCAGAACGGGTCTCCTTGGAGTAAAGAAGCAGCTGCACGGACACTTCGTAACTTATCATTCTTTGAGAACCTGCGAGAACCGTTGCTTTCAGCTGGAGCGATCGATGTTTTGACCCGAGTGACAGAATCGGGAACAGCCCGGGCAGCAGAGTCTGCGAGAGCCGCATTGAACCACCTGAGTAGAGCGACAAGGTCCACGCAATCTACCAGTGGCACACAAGAAATGCGCATAACGGCGTCTGCAGGAACAAGGGCAGCAGTACCTCCAGTAACCTCTGTTCCAGCCACAGCGAACTCGGTCAATGCCACCAGCCGGTTGCAAGTTTCAGCACGTCGAGTCGAGGCGAGTCGTCTTTTTGGCAGATCAAATGCTGCAAGAGTGCACCCAGAACCGGAACCTTCTAATGGAGGCACTGGCACATCTGGGCAAGGTAGCAGCAGTTCTAGAGGGGCAGCTCGGGTATTGACGAGGCCCGGTGCCAGTAGAGACAGTTCTTCTCGGAGATGATTATTACTACAGGTCTTCCTGTTCATTCGTAGTGCTGATGTTCCTATTGCCGCTGCACTCTTTCCTGATTTGTGTGGGTACATTTTACAGAGCTTGATTTCTGTTTAGATGTAAAGGTTCAGTGTTTCCCAAGGGTACTCTATTTACCGGTACTCTACATGGCAGGGTGTTCTACGGTAAAATGAATGGTTACGTAACAGTCTGACACTCCCAGAATTTGTAGGACGGTCTAAAATTACATTATTAATGCCCTACTTCCTGATCCCTAGAGCCACAACAAAAGACCATCTCATCTCAGTAACATACTGACCGGTACATACCATGAACGTACCCTACACTTTTGTGTGGGTAGCAGCAAGATACTGGAGAATGGAGAATGGGACTACATGTCTCCAATCTGTCCTAGAAACAGGCACTACACACTAGAAAGCCAGAGTCAGTTGCGTTTCCATTTTGTGAAGAACACTGCTTAAAAAAGGTGGAGCGAGCGTTTCTTGGTATCCTGCTTCCACTTGGGCTGCTTGTAGAAAGCCTCCTTATCACATCCGAACGCTTGGAGGAAGTCCGCATCAGACAGATAAGCCTGCCACGCAAATCAGAACATTGGAAAAAGAAGTCAGATCAAGAGATTCTGACTGCCCAGGTGAGAGGCATGTCACTTGCTGCCAACAATCACAGAAGCCAATAGAGATTTGGGGCAATTTTACGGAACACCTCATCACACCTGCTCATTGCACATCACCCCAGCTCGTTGGGCATCACTCCTGCTCTTTACGCACCTCTCGCTTCTTGGTGTCGATGCCAGGAGCAGGGTCCGTGCTGTTGACTGTGAGCCTCTCCAGGGCGTACACGGCGCCCTCCACTGCTGCCTCAGTGCCCGCCGCATCCGAGGGCTCGTCTCCCTCGGGGATGGGGGCGGGCACGGGGGAGGAGGGCGTGACGGCAGCGGGACTGGCAGCAGGCTGTGGTTCGGGCGTGGAGGATGGTGAGCGAGCCGTGGCAGCGGGCGATTGCACCTTGGGGATGGAATATGCTGCTCCTCCACCACCTGATCACATGCGATAGGCAGACACACAGATAATAAATGTTGCTGCCTCCCATTTGGTGATCGCATTGGGAGTATGATTAGCGACCGAGCTTGATGGGCAAGTTGTCTAGGAAAAAAAAAAGGAGGCGCCAAGTGGTGAGAATAACCCCACAACGACACATTGACATGACCAATTCAGCATACGGAGCAGAAACATTTCACCATAAGGAGGAAACGACACTCACTCTTCCTTTTCTCCGCAGTGAGAGTGCCCGACAGGGCAGCGATGGCAGCAGCGCGCTGAGAAGCAGCAGACATGGGCGCCGCAACCTCCTCAGCGGGAGCAGGCTCGGGCGTAGCCATGGGCGCAGGTGCGGCAGCAGCAGGAGAAGCAGCGGCAGGATCAGGCTTGGTGGGCACCCCCCTAATGGAGCCCTTAAGGGCAGCCATTGCTGCTGCCATCTGAGAGGATGCTGAATCCTTGGCAGCGTGTGCAGCCGCAGCAGCAACAACCTCTGCTGGCGGGGCTGCTGCGGCCGGCTCAGCATCTGCTGGTGCCGCAGCGGCACCGCCGGCAGCAGCGCCAGCAGCAGCGGCGGGGTGGGATGATGCTAGGCCAAGTGTTGCCAGCTTGCGCTTGGCAGCCTAAAAGAAATCCAGGAAGGTGAGGAAAAGGTAGAGATCGGTGGAGAAAATTGGGGATTTGCTGCGCAGAACAGGAACGCATGCTGTGGGGTATGAGAGACATTTTGATGGACATGGAAATATCAGAGCTTTCAACAGATCCAGCTGGCAGCAGACAGCCGTATGTGCATGAGCATCCCATTCCAAGCAGCACAGTTGTCATACCGATGGGGAGTAACCACAATGGTCCTCATCCAGCCAAGAAGGCACAGACTACCATCAATGGTGTCCTCATCTCCATGTCATGCAGCATAGCACCGCCAGATGCCATTACGCCATCACACCACCACCATAAACACACAACAAATGCATCATGCCTCCACGCCCCAACGTCCTCCTGCCTCCCTGCGGCGCCCATGCCCCATGCACCCACGCCCCCATGCCCCCCATGCCCCCATGCCCCATGCCCCCCATGCCCCCATGCCCCCTATGCCCCCTTTCCCCCCTGCCCCCCATGCCCCCATGCTCCCCATGCCCCACTCCTATGCCCCACCCCCCTTGCCCCCATGCCCCCACACCCCTAGGCAGCAGCACTCACGTCGGAGAGCTCCACCTCGCGGCCCTGCAGGTGCGCCAGCTTGCGCTCGTGCGGGTCCACAAAGGCCTGGGGGGGGGGGGGGGGGGGGGGGGGGGGTAGGGCAGAGGGGAACAGGGGGCAGCAGGGGGGCGCAGAGGACAGCAGGGAGCAGCAGGGGGGCAGCAGGGGGAAGAAGGGGGCAGCAGGGGGGCGCAGAGGGCAGCAGGGGGAGTGGGATGGTGGTGTGGAAGGGGAGAGTGGCACGTGAATGGAATGGGCATGAGGGGCTGCGTGATCTCATGCATGTAACCACTCATGCATGTAACCACTCATGCATGTAACCACTCATGCATGTAACCACTCATGCATGTAACCACTCATGCATGTAACCACTCATGCATGTAACCACTCATGCACACGCGGGCGAATGCTCTGCACACGCCAGACATACAAATCAGTGCAAGCATCCCATGACCCACACACACACAACATAACCTATGTCATGCACCAACGCACACCCCAGAGCCTCAACACACTCCACCAAGACGCTAATCGAGTGCCAAGAAATGGGCGTGATGCGAGCACACAGTCAAGCATCTAGTGGTCTGCAACGCATGCATCGCATCGCATCCCATGGGCCACGGGTGGCAGGCGGCACGCACAGCAGTCTTGGTGGGGTCCCAATGGAAGTGGCAGGTGAACATGGGCGGCTCAAAGCCCTCCACCACGCGGATGATGGTCACCTCCTTCGACCGCCCCTCGCTGCCCGCCACCGCCTCCACGTACCGCTGCAGGAGGGGCAGGGGGAGAGTGCGGGGGGAGCAAAAGGGGTGCATGAGAGGGATTAGCTTGAGTGCTGCTTTGACATGCCCTTGCTCCCCTGTGACAGCACACTGCACCTTAGATGGATTTGACGCTGGGACAGTCCAGCGTTAAGCGTCAAAATGGTCCGTTTTGACGCTGGACGGTCGCCAAAAAAAAAAAATCGGGCAGCCCGAAATCCTTTTTTTTTTTTTCCGCGCAAAAAAAAGTCCGCTTCTGGAGATCACGTCGACATCGCGACTGCTAATGCACAACATCGCGACAGCTGAGGCACTAAAGCGCGACTTCTAAGGCACTAAATCGCGACTGCTATGGCACTCGACATCGCGAGTGCAATGTCTCTCGACATTGCACCACACGGGAAAAACCCAAAACAAAAATCCAACCCCTCCACCCCTTTCGACCGCACTACAAAACCAAACCTGAACAGCACGCACACATTTCACTCGACATTGCACCACAAAGCACCACACAGATTAAACACAACACAAAATCCAAACTCCCCACCCATTTCGACCACACTACAACTACAAAACTAAACCTGCACAGCACACACACATTTCACTCGACATTGCACCACACAGAAAAAACACAACACAATATCCAAACCCCCCACCCATTTCGACCCCCCGAGACCCACCCCCCCTGTTTTTTTTGGCTGCCCGAAGGTTTTTTTTGCCTGCCCGCCAGAGCGTCAGAACCACCGTCAAACTCTCGGAGGGTTCCGTCCAGAGTAAAAAACGGACCGTCAAAACGGTAGCGTAAAAAACGCTAGCTCCGTCAATTCCAACTAAGCACGGCACAGAAAATGTAGCACGCAGCAAGCAGCACACACCACACAGCATAGCGCACACACCGTACAGAACCAGCACGCACCTGCGCGTACTCGAAGGCGTCCTTCTTGTCCTTGTCGGGCAGGTTGACGCCCACCCACACGAACACCTCGCTGTGCGTGTCCAGCAGCATCACGTCCTCGCTGATCAGATCCTCCTGCTCGTAGTTGGGCACCTCCACCACCTGCGATTCCCGGAGGGGTAGGGAGGGAGGGAGGGAAGGGAGGGGAAGGGAGGGATGGGGAGGGAAAGGGAGGAACGGGAGGGATGGGGAGTGATAGGGAGGGATGGATGGGGAGGGGAGGGAAGGGGAGGGATGGATGGGGGAGGGGAGGGGGAGGGGAGGGGAGGGGAGGGGAGGGGGAGGGGAGGGGAGGAGAGGGGAGGGGAGGGGAGGGGAGGGGAAGGGAAGGGAGGGGAGGGGAAGGGAAGGGGGGGGAGGGAAGGTAGAGGGCTTATCACATGCACTATTGCACACACATGAGCACATGTATGCACGCATGCGATTTAAGGTTGGGGTGGGGGCGCAGGCACATCAAAAGAAGACCTGCAGAGAGACTCAAATCCCACGTGGCTACTTGTGCTAGTGGATGAATTGAAGAAAAAGGGGAGCTTACCTTGGCAGCGGCTGTAGCCGTGACGTAACAGGAAGCGTTGATGCCATGTTGCATATGGCACATGGAATACACATGGCACATGGAATACACATGGCACATGGAATACACACAACACATGGTACATGGGACACACACGCACGTGGCACATTGCACATTCACACACACAAACACACACACATGGAAGGGGGAAGGGTTTAGGAGGGTGGGAAAAAGATGCATGCGGAATTTTGAAGGTATACTGGATGAAAGCCAAGAAGAGGGAAGGAAGGAGAGGAGGGAGGAGAATAAAGCTGAGAGGAGGGAATAGGAAGGAGGCAACACGGGAGGAGAGAAGGAGAGAAGCGGGGAAGTGGGAAAGGGAGGAGAGAGGAGAGAGATGGGAGGGGTGCAAGGGTGGAGGTGAGGTGAGGTGAGGTGAGGTGAGGTGAGGTGAGGGCAGGGCAAGCAGTTCGAGAGGACAGAGTCTTCCAAATGACCTCTTGAGAATTTTCAAAGTGGCTTCAGTGAGCATTCAGTCCTCTTCCCCATCTTCCATGTCACCCATTCTCCTTTCATGCATCCTCCTCTCACTGTGACCCATTCCACTCCCAACCCCAAAACCTGCACCAGCTCCCAGCCACGCAGGTTCCCACCCTTCCCTTCCTCTCCACGCCAGACTAGCCTGTGGCGTCTCGCTATTATCACGCAGACCACCTCGTCACAGTCATACACACCACCTCGCTATAGTCACCTGCAGTGCCAGTGTAGTGGAAGAGGCGCGCATCCCGCTGCGCCTCCCTCTGCTCGCGCTGCGCGGGGTAGTCCCCCTTGGCGCCCAGATGCCCCCAGAACACCGACGTCTCCTTCCCCTCCGCCAGCTGCTTCAGTGCCACTCCGGGCTGTGCCAGGGACGGGGGAAGCGCGAGGGGGGGTAAAGGGGGGAGGGGGGGGGAAGGGGGGTAAGGGGGGAGAAGGGGTAAGGGAGGAGGCCGGAAAGGGGGAGGGAGGATGACGGGCGCCGGGCAGGCAGAGGCTGGAAAGAGCGACACAAAGAGTGCCCAGGTGCCCCTAGAACACCAACGCTTTCTTGCCCTCCGCTAGCTGCTTCAGCGCTACCCCTGGCTGTTCGGGGCAGGGGGTAGGAGGGAATGCTGGGGCTGGAAAGGATGATCCAAAGAAAGTGGCTGGCTTGTTGGATTTGTATGTGCAGCATGGACGCCCACTTCCCATCACCACGCCTTCATGGGGCAGCTTTTCATCGCATCGACCAGCCCTCGAATGTGTGCGAACCTCGTTTTCGTTTTGCACGGCGCGTACAAATACTATGGACCCGAAGAAAAACTGAATTCTGACCTCACTGATGAGCAGAAAAAAAGAGCTCGATGTGCAGTCAGTTGCTGAGGCCTAGAACTAAACAACTGACTGCGCATCGAGCTCCTTTTTTCGGTCAGCAGTGAGCCAGAATTTACTTTGTCTTCGGGTCCATAGTACTTGTACACTGCCCTGCAAAAGGAGAACGAGCTTCTCACACATTAAAGGGCTGGTCAATGCGATGAAAAGCTGCCCCATGCAATACTGCATCAGGGTGGCATTGGAGTATGTGGCAGACGCATGTGGGAAGGTCGTGCAGGCTCAAAGTAAGTGCTCAGAAACAAGCGGACTTTCAAAGGCAGAGCCACCTTCACAAGATGGTGAAACCTTCAGAGGATGGTGACACTTTCACACTCATGGCAGCACCTTCACAGGCATGGGTCTACTTTCACACGCATGGGTGTACCTTCACAGGCATGGCGGGTGTACCTTGAAGATTTCAGCAGCGGTGGTGGCGGCGGCCTTGTCGGCCTCAGTGCTGTTTCTGCCCACCCACAGGAATGGGTTGGCGGGGGTCTGCAGCAGCATGCACTCCGATGAGTTGAGCGACCGCGGCACCTGCCGTGGTGTGATGTGGTGTAGTGTAAGTGTGGTGAAAGTGTGGAGAATCATAGAAACTCACATGCAGCGGACATACGTGAGCACACATGCATGGTCATTCGTGCATGCACACACACACACAGGCACACACATGCACACACAAATGCATGGACATGACACACACATGCTCATGCGGCGTGCCACATAGTTGGAATCACGAATTCAATAACAAACGAAACTTCAAAAAAGTTGGTTTGCAACAATACCTAACCAAACAAGAAACGAGATGGACCATAAGCTTTGTCCACGCGTGCCAAAAAAACACATTTCACGCAGACGTGGTGTGGTGGGCAGTAAAGAGGCAAGGCTGGAGCAGCCGTGTGGCGCTTGGTAAGGCTGATTGGGAGGCCTGCTTGCCCTGGTGCAGTGCTCTCACCGTGTCCATTTGGACGGCCAGGATGAGCCCGTTGTCGCGCGCCCGCACTCGGAAGAGAGCGATGCCCACCGCATCATACGCCTCTGCTGCCTTGCCCTGCCGTGGGGGGGGGGGGGGGGGGAGGAAGAGGGGAGACAATCCCAGGGGTGGGGAGAGAGGGGTGAGGGTGTGGGGAGAGAGGAACGAAAATCGGGATAGGGGGGAGGGTGGAGAAGGGGAGAGGAGACGAGGATGGGGCAAGGAGAAGGGGAAGCGATGTGCTATGACATGGTGAGATGAAAGAAGGATGAGAGAGAAGGGGATGGACGGGAGATGGAGGAGGAAAGCTAGTTCATGCGATATGAAGTTATCAACAAGGAAACACTCAGCAACAAAGACATGAGGACACGGATAAATGAGCGAGGCCACGTGCCAACACACCGCAATCCGACACGCCAACACACAGAGAGAGCACCGAGAGGCATTGAGGAAGAAAGGAAGGGAGAGTCACCTTGAGGAAGAGCAGGTGGCTCTTGAAGAGCGATAGGAACTGCTCTGGCTCCCTGCCCTGCACCACCCGCACCTGATGCACACCAAGAGGGGGGGAGAAAGCAGGGGCATAGAGTGGGGAGTGGGGCGGGGCATAGGGCGAGAGAGAGGAAAAAGAAAGAGGGAGAGAGGGGACGGTTACACAAGCAACTGTTGGTGCGGAGGCCGCAGTGCTGTGTGGATGTGAGGGCAGTGTGACGGGGCAGTGTGACAGGGCAGTGTGACAGGGCAGTGTGACAGGGCAGTGTGACAGGGCAGTGTGACACTTCACAGACACTGCCTCACTGCAGCATCTCCAAAGTGGCATGGCAGCGTACACACCCCCATGGCAGCACACACCGATACGCCCAATGGGGGCAGGCAGCATGAGCAAGCGGGGCGGGCAGCATGAGCAAGCGGGGCGGGCAGCATGAGCAAGCGGGGCGGGCAGCATGAGCAAGCGGGGCGGGCAGCATGAGCAAGCAGGGCGGGCAGCATGAGGGAGTGGGGCGGGCAGGGCGCTCACCAGAGTGACGTTGCCTCTGAGCCCATCCATGGTTCGCACTGCCAGCGCCGTGGCTGCCGTGCGATCCGCCTGGTGGGGAGAGGGGAACGGCGTGGGGGGAGAGAGTGGAGGGAGTGAGTGGAGGAGAGCAAGGATGGGGAAGGTTGAGGGAGGAGCGGGAGGAGAAGAGTGAGGGGAAATCAAGGAAGGAAAAGAGTGAGACGGTGGCAGAGGGAAGAGATGTGATTGGGGCGACAGAGGGTGTGAAAGCAAAGCAATGGGTGTGTTAACAATTCATTGACAGCTGGTCACCCTGTGTGGTAGAATGGCCAAGACACGAGCAAGTGCGTGTGGCGGGCATGCGCAGGCGGAGCGAAACAGCAAGACCGCAAGGGACGATGTGGGAGTGCAGTGCACCAAGGGCTTGGCCCTATTACAGGTCGTATCTTCATCCACCCCAGTGGAGAGGACCCTGAAAGGCAAGAAGCGCAGGGCAGGGGCCTTACAGCGGAGGTGTCCTTGCCCATCCAGAGGAAGAGCAGGTACTCGTGCTTGCGGTCGCGGATGGACGTGTGCTGCACCAGGTAGCTCTCCCCCGCGTGGAACTTGCCCACCTCCTCCGCCGCCACCGCTGCTTTGGTGCTCCCCGCCACCCTCCACGCCTGTTGACGCGCACATGGAGGCAGGGAGGAGAGGTGGAGGGGTTGCGGGAGGACGGGAGGAGGAGAGGAGGGGGGGCGCGGTGGGCAGATGGGGGAGGGGATGAGGGGAGGATGTGAGGCGGGGAGAAAGAGAAGCGGGGAGGAGTGGAGGAGGAGAGGTGGGGAAGAGGGAAAAAGGGGAGGGCGGTGGAGGGGAAAAAAAGGAGGTGATGGAAGAGGGGAAGGGGGGGGGGAGGCGCAAGGTAAAACGGGGGGAAGGGAGGAGGAGGCGAGGAAGGGGAAAGACAGTGGGAGAGGACGAAGTAGAGGAGGTAGACTACGGTTGGAACTGTTAATGGGAGTGGAGAAGGAGGGATAGGAAGTGGAAGGGGAGGAGAGAAGGGAGGCAGACCAGCAGTTCAACGTCAACAGCAATGGGAGAAGCAGCGATGGTGTGTGGAGCATGCAACTCCATGCATCCCCCCCACCCCCCCTCCCTCACCCCCTCAACCCCAAATTGCCATCCCCAAGCCCCCTCTCTCTCTCTCCCTCTTTCTCCCTCTCTCTCTCCCTCTCTCTCTCCCTCTCTCTCTCCCTCTCTCTCCCTCTCTCTCTTTCCCTCTCTCTCTCCCTCTCTCTCTCTCTCTCTCTCTCTCTCTCTCTCTCTCTCTCCTCTCTCTCTCCCTCTTCC